TTAGACCCAGGATGAATTACATAGTTGGGGCTTGGATCCTGGGAAGACTCCAGAAGATGAGGGGACAGCATACTAGGTTTGCTGAGTCCCCTTTCCAAGATAGAGGTGTTCAGTTGGGCCAAAAGGATGATGGGAACTGAACAGTCTCCCCAGAGAGGGTGCAGCCTGGACCAGGACTGAGCTCCATTACCTTTACCTCAGCTGGGATCCCCATGGCTGGCTAGGTCCCTGACCTGACTCTGGCCTCTACCCTGGTAGTGCTACCTGCCTGACCTTGGAGAACCCTGGGCCTGGTGCACGTGTACTGCAGCCCTGCCTGCTTGCAGGCTGGATTAGGCAGAGTGCAAGGACGTGCCGAGCGGGTAGGCTCAGGGGTGGGGTCGGTGCCGGCGCTAGAGCTGCCCTGTGCTGGCTCGGGACTGGGTTGCGGTGAAGCCTTGTATGGCTCTGGCAGACAAGTTCGGTGGCAGCACCCATTGGCTGGGCGGGCACTCCCAGCCGGCCTGCCTGGGCCCCAAACCACGGGTAACCAGAGCTGCAGGAGCTGGTGGATTAGCGTGCCCTCCCACCTGCCTGCCTGCCTGCCACCAGGGCTGCTCTTTTCCTTTCCTAAAAAGGCAGAGCTGGGCAGGAGAGATGGGAAGTATTGCTCAGGCCCGGCGTAGTGGTGGGGTGGGTAGGGTGGTGCAGGTGGCTCTGGGGAAGACTCGAGTAGCCTAGCCTTGGCCTTGGTCCAAGCTCTTCCTGGCTCTGAATATCAGTTTCTCAGCTAAATGGGGGCATTTGCAGATTTGCAGATCTCACTAAAGTGGACGAGGCCACCAGGCTGGGATTGGGGGGTATATACAGTGGGGTCCCCCAGCCCCAGCCAGGTTCCAGGGCTGCACCGTAGCATAGAGGCCTAGATTTTCTTTCCATAGGAATCTTCCATTTCCTAATGTGGGGACCTTGCCACCTACCATGATGACCTTGGGGAGTAGGGCAATCTCTTTTATAGGCTCCCTGCTCTGTAAAAAGGATGCAGTGGTCCCTTGAGCAACACCTGTACGGAGCAGTCCTCTGTGGGAGCCTCCTCAGGGCTCTCCTGACTCTGAGCTTCCTTCCTTTGCATCTCACTACTACTCATTCCCACTTTGGCCTGGCTCGGCCTTCTGAGGCTGTTCTGCCTTAGTGACCTGTATCCGGGCAGAGCATGGTCTCCAGGTACTGAGACCCAGGGGAGTCCTGAATAGGAACCTGGCAGAGCTTGGCCAAGGCCTCAGCAACAGCAGCCCATGCACAGCCAGTGCCTTCCTGAAACTCGGTCAGATATGTTGGGCTCATGGCCCTGCTGCTTGCTAAAGTGTGATCGTGGTTCTATCCTTTGTCAACAAAATGAGGCTGTGCATTCTGTCCTGCCACACTCCCAAAGGGGAAGGGTTTCATGATGTCTAGAGAATCACTGCAAGAGGCCTGGAGGCCAGCAACGTGTAAATGACTGGTAGGCTTTGGGCCAGTGGCAGATAGTGGTGAATAGGTAGCTGATCTTTTAAAGAATCCACACAGCCTCTTTATGATCTCAAGTCCTGTAATCCCAGCTCTGGTGTCTGCTGTCCAAGGTTCATGCTTGCAGCCGTGGGCACAGCGACCCAACATGGTCCCAAGGTGGCCATGCTGACAGCCCAGCAGCTGCTGGAGAGAACCCCAGCTGGACCGTTAGCAGTAGCAGCTGAGCCATCTAAGACCCAGCACTTTCCCCGGAGCCAGAGTGGGTTGGGGTCATGAGGAAGAAATACGGTTCCCTGAAGGGAGCTAGGTCCTAGTCTTCTTACTGCCACTAACTAGCTAGGGGGAACAATGTTATGGTTTGGCTTTAAAACGTCGCCCTAAAATCTCATGTGTTCCGCGTTGTGGTTTTTGGAAGGTGATCAGATCATAGCACACTAACCCCATCAGTGAACTAATCCACTGGCGCTCACAGCTGCATGTGCGGTTAGAGGTGGGGACTAGTGGGAGGAAGTGGGTCAGCTGGGGTGCACCTTTGGAAGTGCAGCTCTCCAGTGGCTCTTCCTCTGCTCTGCTTCCTGGCTGCTATGGCTTGAGCAGCCTTCCTCTGCCATGCTCTTTCTGCCTTGGAGCCGGCCAATTGTGGATGGAGCCATCTGAAACCATAAGTAAAGTCAGTCTCTCTTCCTTTAAGTTGCAGGTGCCAGGTATTTTGTCCCAGCAGTGAAAAAGTGGCAAATTCAGACAGTCGTTCACCTTGCAGGATGCTTGTAATGGCTACAGGTGGACTTTGTAAAATGTTGGAGGCGGGGTCGGGGTGGGTACTACGTTCTTCTTCCTCTTCTGGGGCTGTTTTAGGGTCCACCTCCCCACTGGCCTGAGATTTCGATATGTTCCCTGGCATTTGTGGCTTAATGGCTCTTCATTCTTCCATATCCCAGGTTCTAACGCTGGATACTATTTTTGCTTTCCCATAGCCTCCTCTGAACCCCCACCCCCCACCCCCTCACTCTCTATAAAAGTCCAGCTGCAGGGCCAGGGATATAGCGCAGCAGTGTAGTGCTTGCCTGGCAAGCACTAGGCCCTGAGCTCGATTCCCGGTACAACAACAAAAACAACAAATCACACCATCAGACTTTATCCTCTTCCTGTCCCATTACTGACATCTGCTCACTCTCTGGTCTAAGTCTCAGAAGTCCTAACCTTACAGGTTCATCATTCAGGCTATTTCCAAATATCCCCATTCTGTGCTGTTACACCTGACTTGCTCTGGATCCTGGAGAATGGATGTCAGGGCTGTCTGTTGCCAGTGCAAGGTGCTGAGCATGCTCCTTTCCCTGCCTGTGAGCTCAGGGGGACACAGGGACAGAGTTGCTATCCGTCTGTGTCTCCGAGTGATGGGAATGTGCACGATGCCCCTGCTGATGCACACTTAAGAGGGATGGGGGAAAAAGAAACACCCATGCCTGCCACAGAGTGTCTGCAGCACAGCAGAGCCTATCCTGATGGATACTCCCTGGCTCGTGGCCCAGGTCGCCTCCTAAGCCGTGCCATTGTCACAGGTAACCTCACCTGCCACCTGTGTGACTTGCTTAGTGCCCCAGGTGCTCATTTTCAGGCCTCTGCCCCTCCAGCAGTCTTCTCCCCGCTGTACCTCAGCCACATGCTTGTGATCAGCAGTCTTCATCCACAGTGGTCTTACAGGTTGTGACAGCTCATGATCCTGTCTCCTCTTCTCTCCGCAGCCCCTGCCCACTGCAGACCACAGGCCTTCCTCTGTATCCCCCGTGCCTGTCTGCCTCCTCACTGGCTTGCAGAGGTAGTGCCCATAACCTCACGTCTTCGTTTGCCAACATCCTCCCCTCCACCCTTACTTTTCCCTCTGGATGAATTGACTGCAGCAGAGCAGGGGTGGCCAGGTCCCTGGTGTCACATGGGACACCCAACTTGTTCCCTGTTGGGCTTTCTCTTGCTTTCCTTGACACTTGCTCACACCTTTCCAAGTCCTTTTAGTCTTTAGTCTGTAACTTCCTCTAGTGACTTCACTTGACAAGAAAGTCATCGTCAGGCCCACCTGGGCTTCCTGTTGCCAGACAGAGGTGCTGACTTGTCTGCTCCTCTTCCTTCTCAGCCCTGGATGATGGTGGGGGGAAGCCAGCCTCGATTCCTCACCTCTTCCTGATTAGCCCTTGGGTCCTCCTTTCCCTGGACCCCTCCTTTAGCTACGGTCCAGTGTCTCTTACCTGTGCCCTAGGCTCCTGGGAAGGCGGCCCCCTTCCCACCTGATGCTCACTTCTCGGCCACCTTCTTCTGCCTGTGGCATTCATCCCACACTAATCAGCATCTGTGAGAAGCCCCAGCATCTTGCACCAGGACTGGCTCGAGGCCAGTTTCCCCCAGTTCAGCATGGGTCCCTCGTTGCCCAACCAGAACCTCTTAGATCCTGAGTGATGAACTTCTGGACAGCTCTTCACCCCGAGGGCCTTTAGACTGTCCCCTGTGTTCCTTCCCCTGTGTCCCCTCGCAGCTTCTCTTCCTGTGCTGGCCGTTTTTTGCTTTTCTGGCGAGGTCTTCAGTGGTGCAGACTTCCTCTGGTCTCAAGCTCTTGCCTCTTCTACAGGGGCTGCAGTGATGCCCTAGGATCGGGCGACTGCTGACAGCCTGAACTAGAAATGGATCTTACCGAAAGTGGGCTATGTCTGTCTTGCTCACTGCTGCAGCTGGTGATTGCACTCAGTGCTGCTCAGCAGAGGTGAATACAAAAGGTGGAGTTCATATCTAGTGGCCATTTGTTCTGGGCTGTTAGCCTCCCTGGAAATACCATCTCTTTTAATCCTCACAAACATCCTCAGCGACATCGAGACTTACTGTTCACTGTATAGAGTAGGAAACAGACACTGCGCAGTTAGGGGACTTACCCAAGGTCATACAGCCAGTTAGTGGCCGTGCCAGGGACCTGAACTCATGTCTCATGCTGTAGTCAGTTGAATGTTGGCCTCCAAAAGTCATATCCTAATACCCAGAATCTGTGGATGTGACCTTGTTTGGAACTGAGGCCTCTGAAGGTATAAGGAAGATCTTGAGATGAGATCCCCTGGAGTAGGATCCGCCCTCAGTTCAGTGACTAGTGTGCTGAGCAACACAGAGGTGTGAAGGTAGAGGCACATAAGGAGTGATGAATCTAAAATCCAGGAAGCCCAAGGCTTGCTGGCAGCTGCCAGAAAGTAGGACAGAGGCAGGGAATGGGTTCTCCAGAGCCTCCAAAGCAAAGGATGAAAGGCCCTGCATTTGTGGTAATTTGATGCAGTGACCCTAGGCAATGAGTACAGGCCCTGATCACAAGGCAGTGTATCTGGCATTTCCTTGACAGAACAAGTGAAGGCCACAAGAGTCCTGGGCTGTGTGACTGAGGTTTAGTCACTTCCCTTCTCTGGGCCCAATTTCTCTGTAATAAAACAGGCAACAAAGGGTATTCCCCAATTCTAATATTTTACAACCCCCAAGAAAGACCATGAGCTGGGCAAACAGGGCTATGTTGGGACGTTCAAATTTATTCCAACATGCTGTTTTTTTAAAAAATATTCTCAGGCTGAACCCTCAGCCTGAGCTGTAATAAAGGCAATTATTATACTTGTAAAAACTTCATTCACAGTACAGATGTAATTTACAACAGAGATCACACACATCAATACTGAACAATATTTTTGCTTTTGTACGTCACTCTGTGCTTTAGACCTGCATGAATTTTTTTGTTGAGTTTTTTTTTCTTTTGCACTGATATATACCGTACCAACGTTGCAAGATGCAAGTGTAGAAACTGGAGTTTAAATAAAATTACAAGCAAAACTACCCCATCCCAGTGCGGTTGCTGTACATATCTACAGTACGATTTTTGGAATGTATTGCCATTTAAGAACATAGAAACTTTCTACAGACAATTTCACATACAGAATACGTACACCTTTTAGGAAAGAAAGGCAAATATTTATCTTACAGAGAGGGTGTATCTTACATTTGCCTACACATCTTCATTTTCTCTGTCTTTTCTTTTAACACTAGAGTTAGTAAAGTGATCAGAAGCGCCGATGCGGGTTTCTGGCGGGAAGCAGACTGGAATCTCAACATGGAAGCCTGTGACACAGGCCTTCAGGAACCCTTTCCCCCTGCAGATTGGTCTCCTAGAATGGCTGCTCAGCCAGGACTTTTGCCTTAAAGACTCATCTGGAGCAAGGACTAGAGGGGAACTCAGCTCAGATATATTGCTTATTCCTGTTTCAAGAGACCGGGTGGGGATGGGGCAGCGCCTAGAGAAACCCGGGGGCCAATTTGTTCAGACATTTTTGGATAGACTTCGGACTGTGGGAGGGTGAGCAGCTTGCTGCTGTCAGAAGGGTCTCAGTGTCTGGGGCCAGAGTGTAAGCTATGGGGGTGCATGAGGGGGAGGGTGTTGGTACACCCAGATGACTGTGGGATTGTGCAGGGTAAAGAGAGGCATCACGGAGGGCAAGTCTTGGGGACAAGAGGCCTAGAACCCAGCAGAAGGCAGGCTTGGCTTAAAACTCTGGCATACTGCTTCCTGCCTGCCAATACCCAAGGAGCAGAGCTAGTCTGTACCAAGGATGGCCATCCACACAGATTCACAGCTCAGCACAGGTGTCTGCATCAACCAATCATCACTGCTTCTTCCTGGGGTGGGGACCACAGCCTCACCGGCAGACAGCAAATTCAAAGTAGCTGGGGCTAGCTTGGGGGCTCAGGGCAGGGCACTCTTAGGGTGAGAATATTTTTCCAAATCAGGAAGGTGTGCCTAGGGGCAGGGGGCCCTGTACTCTGGAAAGTGAGCCCAGAGTCTGGCAGAGGGGATTAGAGCTGGACCGGGCGGTCCCTTTGGGCACCTGTGTGGGGTAGCAGCCCTTTGGCTGCCCAGGGACTGGGGGGACTCTCCCCTGCTGGCTATACTGTCCATGGCAAGGCTGCCCAGGAAAGGGACCTTAGTGAGTGGGCTGTTTGAGTGATGGCCTGGAGAGCTAGGAGTGTAGGGTGGGTGGAGGGATGTGGCCACCCTCAAGTCAGGAGCTAGTCCAGCAGCCTGGGGCTGGAAGATCTTGCCCAGAAAGGCTGGGAGCCCAGGGAGGGTTAAGGAATTGCTCTCTATGCAGATCCCAGGCCTCAGTCCTCAAAGTCTCGAAAGCCCACAGGTTAGTGCTGAGAGGCAATGGGAGGAGAGCCCTGGCTTCTGGCCTGGGGTTCAGCTTCTACCCACTTCCTGCCAAGCCCAAACAATACCAGTATGGTGCAGGGTGGGCTAGCTTCTGGTGTGGGCAAGAGTCCTATACTAAGTCAAGCAGCCAGAAGCTACTGATTAGTCTGATTTCCCAGTACCTTGGAATTCAGTGGACCTCAAGGGAAGTCCTGCCCTAGTGCCCCTTTTTTGTCTTAGCTCTGAGCATACAAAGGAGAATGGACAAGGTGGTCTGGCCGGAAGATGGAACCGTGGCTGATTTGAAAATGAGAATCATAGGCATCTGTATCCGTACATAGCCATGCTCACTTTCCCATTTAATTACATGGGGTAAACACGCTAGAGGTCCAGTTCCATGTTGGAATTTAAATATCTAGTCACATTATTTTTCTTACAAAGGAGGTTTTTGCCCTAGGAAGGGGGAAACCCTTTAGGTGGAGAGAAGAGAATCTGAGGAGGCTGGGGAAAGTACCAAACATAATCTTCTTGTTCAAGATTTAGCTATATAATCTGTTGTCATTGATAAAGAGATACAAGTCAACAAATAGGCCCAGGGAGGTGTTATCAGTTACGATTTGGGGTGTTTTGTAGGGCAGTGGAGATCTGACAGTGGGGTGTGGGGATAGGAAAACTAGTCCTGCTGCAAGGGGTCCAGAGATGGGTCCCCTGAGCCTCTAGTGAGAGCATGAAAAAGCCCGGCCATGAGAGAAGCAAGGCCTCTTGGCCCATAGGGGCCACCGTGAAGCACAACCCAAGGCCAGGCACAGGAACAGTGCTAGGCTAGAGCTTGGAGCGTATGGCTGAGGTCAGGAGCCAGGAGATGGACACTCAGGTCTCCTTTCCCAGCCAGGAGGGAGGGCGGGGGCCAGGGTGGCTTATCCACCTGTGCCGGACAATGATGGGCCCATAACACAGACTACCTGGGCATTTGGGAGTCCTGGAGACTAACCCACGGGTTCCTGCCTTCTGCTTGCTTGTCAAAATCCTACCAAAGTCGCTTCAAATTTTTTTTTCTTGCAAAGAATAGAAGAAAAAAGGGAGTCCACTTTGGGGGGCCTCCCTGCCTGAATTTGTGTCCCTCTGGCTCAGGCTACTGGTCCTTCTGCTGGCAGAGAGGACTGGCCACTCACTGGGGTGGGATAAAGCAGTAATAAACAGGAACCATGAGCATCTGTACATAGGAGAGCTTCCTTCTACATTTAATGATGTATATTTTTTGATGTAGCTGTTGCTCTTCCCCTCAGTGCATCTCCTTTTCCTTAGCAAATGACTGACTGGTCTTGGGGCTGGTATAGGTGCCAAGGAGGCCCCCATTCTACAGCCTTTCCCCCCAAATGCAAACTGTTCACAGCCTGAAGCTCCTCACGGGTTTTGTTTTTATGTATGTGTATGATTATTTTTTTCTCTTTTCAAGCAACAAAAGGTATAGAAAAAGGCACAGGTACTGCATACATGGGAAGCTAGAACAGATAGGGGCTGAGCAGAAGCTGGACAGGTGGACGGAGGGAAAGGGAGCCCATGGGAGCAAGGTTACTCGAGGAAGTTGGCTGAAAACGTCTGTTGTTGAACACCGGAAGCCAGATGCTGAGTCTGTCGGAGAGAGGCTAAGTGCTCAGGGGGTTCCTGTCCTTGGGCTTGGGTGGAGGTGCCCTGGGCTCCCCACTACCTGAGGGCTCCGGGGAGCCCTGCCTGGTCCTGGGTTCCCCAGAGAGGTTCCTTCTCCGGGCTGGGAAGCCAGCAGAGGCCTCGGCCAGACAGCTCATGGAGCTGCTGCGGTCCAGCGTTGGGGTGGCAGAGGCCTCGGGATTGGCCGGTGTGCACGGTGACTCCAAGCGGGGGCTCCAGGACTGTGTGGCCTGATGGCCCTGGGGTGGCTGCGGGGTGCAGGGGCCATGTGTGGGTGCAGGCTCTGTGGGCTCCCGGTCGGGAGGTCTTCCCAGTCCACCGCCTGTCCTTTCCCTCTCCTTGGGGTAGTCCCTGCCCTCCAGCTCCGAGGACAGTGTGAACTTGGAGACCTTAGCCACAGGGGACACAGAGGCTGACGAGCTTTCCGTGGGACTCCAGCGGCCTCGCTCCTGGGCCTCTCTGGCCCCTGTCAGGTCGCTGCCACCCCATGAGAAGCCACTGACCCAGGCTGCGGAGGGCCCTGGTAGCAGGGTGGGATGGGCCCCTGGCCGGGCTTGCACCATCTGGATCCCACCAATGGGAATCAGGGGGCACGGTGTGCGGGCCAGGTGCTGGGAGTGTAGAGGCAGGTGGCTGAAGATGTTCTCCTCTGTCCGGGCTGGGATGTGGCCGTGGAAGTCGTAAGGGGTGGAGAAGGGTCGGGAGGAGAGAGGATGAGCAGGGCCAGGTGAGCAGGGCGGACTTCGGGGCTCGGCCTTCTGTAGGATCAGAAACAAGACAGGGGAAGTTGAGGGCTATGTGCTGGCCTCATGGAGTACCAAGGCTTAGAGGACTGGGCGATGACTGTGGCACTATCCAGTGGGCCACCCCCAGCCTATGATGACCACGAACACACTCTGGCCCCAAGGCCTTCATGCCCCCTGCCACAGCCAACGTATCTGGAGGAGGGTGTTCTTGGGGAGGGAGGCCCTCTTGTTACCCTGGCCTGACCCTCTGTCTGGGTTCTGCTGTTTCTCCTGGTCCTAAAATTGTCTCAACCCAACTTTACCCTTGGATGTGAGTTTTCCACCCAAGGGCCTCAACTTTCTCCCACGACCAGGAACTTTAATGTGACCCCAGAATTACAAATCAAAGAGAGATTCCTCAGCCGTACTCCTCTAGGAGTGCCAGTGTTGGGTCATCACAACACAGTGACAGAAAAGGTGTTGGAAGGTGAAGCTGACAATGATAGTATTGTCAGTGTTGGGGTCGTGGTAGCCATGGTGACAGCATGGTGTGGTGCAGAGGTGACATGACAACAGGATGGGGCTGTGTGGGTGATGGGACAACACCCATCAGGCTGGCAGGTGGCAGCAGTGGGGTGTTTGGTGTACTGGTGACAGAGGGGTGTTAGCCGTGGCAACCATGCTTACGGTTGACACGGAGGCTGCTGGCCATGGTGTCTGAAGGAGTGTGACTGTGATGTTGGAGACAGATGATTTTGGTCAAGTGCCACCATTTGCTCAAAGAATATCAGAGAAATAGGCATGGGGCAAGTGAGTCATTGCTCAAGTATTTATGCCCATATCCAAGGCCACACCACGCATTAGGGGTAGAACCTGAATCCAGAAGCCTACTGCTTCCGAGATGCATAATGTGCAATAAACCAGTTGGCCTAAGGTGTCCAAGAAATACGTGCCGAATTATCCATAACTACTGAGTTGGAGTGACTTAGCTTCAGGTGTGATGCTCAGAAAGGTGACCCTGCAATCTCCCAAACCTCCAGAGGGATGTGGCGGAACTCACCCACATGGAGGTGCAGGGCTCAGGGCTTCTGCCAAGAAGCTTGTGAGGTAGAGGCGCAGGTGGAAAGAGAACCCGCGGAGCTGGTCCCAAGCCTGGGCCACGCTTGCCCGTAGAAGGGCTGCCTGGCCCAGCCAGAGCCCACTTCCCTGGCAGCGCTGACCATGGTGGTGACTCGGCCTGACTCAGAGCCCATCTCCTGGTTGGCGAGTGTTTGGAGGGGCCTGGGTCTGTGGTGCCCTCAAGTTTAGGAGGCAGATGCCCCCGAGGGGGTAGTTCTCTTCCCAGAGGGTGGGGAGTGAGAGGAGACAGCTCAAGTCTTGGAGACCTGCAAGGAGAAGGGCCCATGTCCTTTCCTGGGCCCATTTGGGGGCCAGGCGTGCTTGTGACTGAGGCCTGTGGTTCTTGGGCCGGGGAACATTGCTGGGGAGATGAGTCATTTTTGGTTATTGAGTATTTGGGGGTGAGTGGTGCACAGCTTCCTGCTTCTTTGCTTGGGGACCATGGCCTTCTAGGGGACACGGCCTTGGAGCTCAGGGCTGAAACTGTGTCCTTCTCCACAGGGCCGGATGGCGCCAGTCCCAGCTGGGGACAGCCCAGGATGCTCTGGTTGGATGTGGAGCAGCTGCCGGCTGTCAAGGGCTCAGCTTCTGAGAATGAGCTGCTTCTTGTGGCCTCGTTGTCAGAGGTGGCATCGGGGGGCTGAGGGCTCTGAACGGGTGAGGAGTCTGCCCGCAGTGTGGCTGGTGGGCCAGCTGGGGGAGCCTCTGAGGATGGCCTGGACAGGTCATCCTGGCTGTCTTCGTCCTCGTCCTCATCTTCATCCAGGTCTGAGTCTGAGTCTGAGTCCTCCAGGTCTGAAAACTGGTGCTCCTCCACAGCCTCGGAGCCCTCTCGCCCTTCCGAGTCCTGGAACAGGTCATCACTGGTTCCTGGGGGGTGGGGGCAGGAGACCAAAGGTCACTTTGGGGCCATATTGACCCCAACCCTGCTCCTTCCTAAGCCCAGTTTCCTTATCTGCTAATCAGGCATAATTACCACGGTGGTGGCACGAGATTATGGGGCTGGCCAAGCCACAAACATCTGGGAACACTGCAAATAATAGTGAACAACAACTACTTCATATCTACAGTGTTCAAGTTTGGATCTAAGAATTTAAAGATATTAATTCATGTAGTCCTCAAAGAGTCCTGGGAAGCTGGTACTATTTTTATCCTCATGTTACAATGAGGAAATTGAGGTGAGAAAGATTAAGTAACTTGCTCAAGTAAGGGAGTAGTGGGGCTGGGGCTGAACTAGGGCAAGCCTGCTTTTCCTGTGAGCACCTCAGTGCTGGACTCACTGTCAGCAAGTTGCGCTGCCATCCTGAGCTGTGGTCTCCCCTTGCAGAAGTGAGAGCTGTATCTCAGAGGGTTGGTTAGGAGGAGAAACGCAGGCCTGGCACAGAGCAGGAGCCTAAATAATTACAGTCACTATGAATCCATTAAGGGTGACAGCTCTGTTATTATGGAACAGAGTATGGAGGCTTGTCCAGCAGACAGAGTTGTGGTCATTCTAAACTTACATCTGCCACTGTGACCAGGCTGCTGCCAGCTGCCACAATAGCATCAGACTCTGGCCTCTGTGGTTGGCCTGGCTGAGCTGGCCTCAGGCTGTGGGGCCAGGCTCTTCCCTTTGCCCTGAAGAGCTGCTGCCCTTTCAAAGCTCATGCAGCTCTGAGCCAGGGAGAGCAGCTCTGAAATGCCAGCTTCCTGGTATGGCTTCTTGTGGGGCAGATTCGACCAGCTGGGTCACCTCCAAGAGTCTAGTTCAAAATCTTTCTGAAATGTGCAGCACTCTGGATGCTGCGGAGAGCTCTGCCCCTGTGTGGTCTACCTGGAAGGCTCCTAACGGACCTGCTGGCCTATCACTAGATTCTTGTGAGCTCCTGTTTCTGGCCTGCAGAGTGAGGGCTGGTGACAGGTAGGCCACCCTCAGCCAGCTCTCTTGCCTGCTTATCCCAGCAGTACATCCACTGCTGACCAGCAAAGCCCAGCCCAGCAGCTATCTCAGGGTCCCAGGGACTTTGGATCTCCACCATGCCCAGCTGCCTTGGGGCCAGAAAGCCCAGCATCACTGCTTCCGAATGACCCAACGTATGGAAGTACGGTGGCCAGTGTGGACCAAAGTGGACTTTCAGAAGGATGTAGGTGAACAACTGCGGGGTGGAGCCGGGTCTGGGAAGGGCACAAAGCCGAGGGTAGGTCTCCTGGCAGCTGAAAGCATGATGATGAGAGACTTAAGGGAGTGGGGGATTGGGATGGGAGGAAGGATGGGAAGGCGGGCCACACTTTGCACTCTGACCCCAGGCGTTTACTTCCCTTTTTGAGGACATTGGTAGGTGCCTACCGAAGCCCAGGAGTTCATGTAGCCCTGCCCCTCACTCACATAGGGTGAAATTCGGGCACAGAGAAGGCAAAGGTGTACCCAAGATCATCCAGCAAGCTCCTGGCTGAGTCAGAACCAAGGTTCACAACACTTGCATTATTACACTATTAGTTTAAAAATGATTTTTGCTCATGAAAAATCAAAAAGTGGCCTGGTTTTCAATCCTAGCTCTACCATCACCTCACTCGGTGACACTGGCTAACTTGCTCCATGTTCATTTCCTCATCTATAAAATGGGACAGTAGTAAGAAAAGGCACCTCATGAAGCTTTGTGAGGGTTGGAAGTGCCCAGTAGCCTCTGCTATTATCAGCTCCAACTGCTCTTCTCCCATCTCACAGGCAGGGCCCGGAAGGTCAGAAGGTTGTGGTACTGGTAGGGAAAAGTTGGGCCCCACACCTGCTGTGTGGCTCTCCAGGTCCTCCATATGGCGGTTTCTGCAGGCCGCTAAGGGATGCCTATGCCTGGTCAGCCCTTCCCGATGCCCTCATAGGGCTGGGATCAAGGCCAGTGCTCAATAAGCCCCACCTGCTGCCAGCTCTGGGGCCTGGGACCTGGCAGAGCAAGGATCACACACCCTCAAAAGTGCAGGGCATCGCTGGGTGCCATTGCTGAGATGTGCCACACGGTGGCGATGACGCTCAATCTCATCTCCGCGGGGGCAGGGCTGCGGCTTGGCCCCGGGAGTCCTGGTGCCACATTGTCACTTCTTGTCTTGCACACACAAACTCCCGAGGCCCTGCCCTGAGTCTGCCTCATCACAGGAAGTGGCAACTCCATCCTTCCAGTGTCTTGGGCTATAGACCTTGGCAGCATCTCTGCTCCCCTCCTCTTCCCTCTATACCACAGCAAGAACCGTGGGTCCTACCACAGAAGGTACCTGGAATCCCGTCACTTCATTTTAAAATATTTTTTAGTACATGTTTACAGTACATAATTTACATTCTTTGCGTGGAGTTGGTACATGGACCTAGTGCACCTGAATTCCTTTTTTCACCCTCTTCTCTTTTCCCTCCCCTCTCCATCTCGCGATGTCCCTCCCATGGGAAAGATCTACTCCCTACTTCCTATTATCACTCTCGTATATGGCTATTTATTTATAATTCGGATTTCTCATAAGAGAACTCATGCGCTATTTAAACTTGTGTATCTGATTTGTTTCACTTAATGTTACGGTCCCTGCACACAACCTCAGTCCTGGTGGTCACGGCCAAGCTTGCCCCTTAACATTCTGAGCCCTGGCTCTCTCTGACCTCCGGAGTCAGTGGGCTCCAACGATGTGGCCAGGGGCTGTGGCCCACAGGGATAGGCAGCTGTTGGACCCTCTGGGGAAGAGACTTCCCAGACACCACCTGGCCCGTCGGTCCCTGGCTTCCCCTGGGTCCTCTGCTCACTCTAACATGTGGCCAGGGGCTGTGGCCCACAGGGATAGGCAGCTGTTGGACCCTCTGGGGAAGACTTCCCAGACACCACCTGGCCCGTCGGTCCCTGGCTTCCCCTGGGTCCTCTGCTCACTCTATCCTAAGAGTGGACTACCACTCTTCACTCACACATCCCAGCTCCTCACTTGGTCTTTAAGTTTTTGCTTCCCAGTATGGTGTCTGCTCTTTTGTCCATTGCCTGCCTCCTCCTCTACAAGGCAGGCTTTCCTGAGTCACTGGTGTCTGTGCGGGTACCCAGCTCCCAACCCACAACAGAGCTGGACTGTAGATTTCATCCTCACAGAAGTGGGTATGGGTACCCTCGTGCAACCTGCTGAGAAAATGAGGCTGGGGAGGGGGCGCAGCAGGCAGAAGCCACTGGAGGTAGAAGTTCTGAGTTGGGCTCAGCCTCCCCCTCCTCCCTGTTCCCTGGCCTGCTGGTGGTGGGGTGGCACGGACCAGTGTTTGTGTGACCATGGGCCACTGTCTTTACCTGTCTGAGCTTTTCTTTCCTCAACTTGAAATGGGGTGACACAAGTTTCTACCACCTGTTATGAGGACTTATGGTATAAGGTCCTTAAATGGCCTGGTGCACATTCTTGACAAGTGTGGGAACCCTGCATTTAATGTGGGGAGAAACAACCCCAAGTTCACTGCATTCTGTTTCATGAAGGTGATTTATTCCACCTAAAAGGGAAAGTGATTTAACTCTTTGCAAGACCGCATACTCCATAAGTCTTGATCTGATTTCAGGGGATCTGTGGCCAAAGGTTTGTCCCGGCAGGAGAGACTGACCGTCCATCTCTGTCCCCCTGCCAAAGCCCCTCTGGCCTCCTGCCCGGGTGTTGCCAGCTGACCCACTACCTTTACCTCTTCCCCTGTCTGCCGAGACACATGCTCTAATATGCCTCTTGATGCTGGAGGACCATGGCTGGGGTGCAGGGTGGGATGGGGCTGGGAGGCCCAGGGCTCTTGGATCTGGCTTTGGCTTTCATGAAACTCTCCTGCCTCCAAGGGCCCATGCGTTAGACTCATGGCAGAACCGGCATGTGTGGGAATGGAGCTTTTAGTCGGTACCCTCAGTCAAGGGGAGGGTCTGTTGGTAGTCAGGGCATGGACTGAGAACGTGCCTGACACATAGTGGGTGCTCAGAGTTGTCTGTAATTACTCATATGCTCATTTATTCAGTAAACATTCATGGAGCACCCACAGGTGCCCACGCCCCACCTGCACAGGTGGAGCTGTCTCCTCCAACAGCAGCTGTGGCTGCAGAGCACGCACAGACAGTGCGTCGTTCCACGACTTCACTTCGTCTCCCAGTGGTTGGAGGGAGGGCGTGGGAAGGAGGGAGAGGAGCAGCAAAGAGGAGGGCAGAAGGAAAGGGTGATGGTTAGGGAAAATGGGGAGGAGGGGTGAAGGGGGAAGGAGCAGGTGATAGTTCCTTACCTTCTTCGGCTTCCAGCTCCTCCAGCACCCCTGTCTCTTGGCACTTTTTGCTGTGGGCTTTCGACTTCATGTGCTTAGTCAGATTCCCTGGAAAGAACGAGAGCAGACTCAGGCTCTGCTGCAGGGCAGGGGCCAGGGAAGGCCCGGGGCACTTGGAGGCAGCACGTGGCTGGTGGTCCGTGGCTTCTTAGAGCAGTTGAGGCCCTGCCAGATGCAGGGGCTGGGCAGGGACGAGCATCCCTCTGACCCAGCACTCAGGCCAAGGTGTGCAGTGGAGCTAGAGTAGGGAGGTATGGGGCTGTGGAAGGCTGAGGGTATAATGAGGACGTGAGATGCTGGTTACAAAACAAACAAAAGAGAAATTAAAGACTGTTCAAATATAATTGGTTCTTCCTGTTTGTGATTTAAGTCAGGCCCCAAGCTGAGGACATGCCTCAGACAGGATTCTTGGCTATCTCAAAAGGTAGGATGACATGGGGGCTCCCACTGACCAGCATGGCGGTGGGACTGAGCATACCCCTCTTGCTGAAGACACCTCTAGGGAGCCCACAGGGCAGAGCCTTAGGGTCTGGGAAGAAGAACCAGGGCAAAGTTACTCTTGGGAATGGATAAAGGACAGAAGGTGTGAGGAGGGAGTAGGGGAGTCTACTGGCTAGGGACCCTGGAGCTTCAGGACTGGAGTCCAGGCCTAGTTTTAGAGTAGTTCTCTTTCTTGGCCTCAGTTTCCCCAGGCCAACAGGAAGTATGGCCACAGCACCAGGTGGTTTGGGGAAGTCAGGCAAGGCTCTGCCCTGTCCTATGCCTATGAAGCCCTCAGGAGTGCCTGACTCTGTCCCAAGTTAGATCCAGCACACAGGCTGGGCAGCAGCGGCTGTAGCTCTGTGAGATTAGGGCCAAGGAGGCAACAACTTCAATTTCACTACATGCACAGAACTTCACATGCCACAGAGCTCTGCGGACAGTAGTGTTCCAAAAGGAGAGGCTGAGTGCCTTCAGCCTGCCCTGGGCAAACAGAGGCCAGATGCCTTAGGATGCTCCTTTGGACTCAATATCCACTCCCAAATTTGCTCTGAGGATTATTATGTCTCCATCTGGCTTATCACACAGAAAGTCATAAGTTGCCTGAGTCAAGTGCTGTCTCATGAATTTCATTAATCAGTTTGAATAAATGGAAAGAGGTAAATAAGGGTCCTTGAAGAGAAGTATAGAAGTATAGGAAGAATGGTAGACGGATAAACAGGGAGAGGGAATACGGAGAGAAAGAATGGGAATAGACTGATACCTGGGACACTGGGTGAGCAGAAATGCAGACGGACTTGAGTAGAGGAAGAAAATAAATGGAAGGATGCACAGGAGAAGTGGGTCAGTGAGGAGATGGGAAGGCGGTGAGCTGGAAGAAAGTGGAGTTTGCGGGTGAAGGGTTGTATACACAGATGGCTACATGGGAGGCCAGAGTGACGGATAGAGGACTGGGAAGCTGGGAGAAGGATGGAAGAAGGAAAGGACAAACGGAGGAGGAGAAAACCAGTGGGAGAAAAATGAATAGGAAACTTATGAGAGCACAGTGGGAGGAGAGAGGGGTAGACGAGTGAGCGGGAAGAAGGCCTGGGGACGGACCAAAGCGTGCTGCTTCATCATTCTGAGAATTTGGGGTCTTGCGGAGAGGTTGAAGGGGGTCTGTTGAGCTGGGATTTCCTGAGGTGTGTGAACTAAGGGCAGCAGAAAAGGAGAGGAATCATCTCCTTTCCTGTTCCTCCTGCTCCTGGTCCATGACTCTGTCCTTCCCAGCTTGGGTTTTCCTCCTGTGAATGGACAAAATCCTGGCTATCCTTGCCTTGGCCATAGCGGGAGCAAAGCCAGAGTCACCTCATGGACAGACAGTCCCCCAAGGTCCCAAGCCAAAGTTGCAGACCTCCACCTTCACTGTTGTGAGCAGGCAAAGCCTGAGTCGGGCAACCAGGAGGTGGGAAGCAGCAGCGAGGGTCTTCCATGGATCAGGGACAACGAGAATCCTGAAGTTCCGCAATGAACTGTCCTTGGAGTACCTGAGGCCGCGGAGGCCACGGACGCTGCTTATCCTGGTGACCACATCGTTGGTCACGTATGCTTTCCCTGCTAAGTTTAGGTCATTGGAAGCTGAGCACACAGTGAGCCCATAGCAGCCCTGTGGGGACGTGCCATCACAGAAGCAGAGTGCTGGGAGGAGCCTCGCAGACCATGTAACTCCCTTCCCACCAGCCCGAGACTCATCCGCTGCTGTCGCTCTAGCTCTGGGTCCAAATGCTCACAAGACTGGTAGACAAAATCACTGGCTGTCCTGGGTGCTGGCTGGGCTCCTGGGAACCAATACAGCGGGCCAAGTGGCCTAGAGTCGCAATGCTAGCTGTGCAGAGCCCCGACCAGACCGTACTCTCAGGATTCTCAGGCCTTGTTTGCTCCCCGCGGAGGGAAAGTGGAACCAGGATGGTTTGGGAGCCTGTTGGGCTTGGATTCTGTCATAGCACATGGGGCAGCAGTGTGTGGCAGGCACAGAGCAGATCCCCACCCACCCCCACCTGTGACAATCACTGTGTTGGGCACCCGTGGACTCTGCCACACACCGTGCTGGGTATGGAGGATAGACATGCTCATGATGAAATCTTTTCATCTTTCAGTCTGGGTCTCGAGGACTCTGAGAAGGCCAGGGAGCCCCAACCCCAAAGGCCTGCTTCTCCTCTGCCACCTTGCCCTGGGGTTGCAGGGACGGGGAGTGAGTCTGAGGTGACTTTGCAGGTCACAGGGGCAGACATGGGATGAGCAATCCCGAGTGTCCTCTCGCTTCCCTCTGTGACTGCCCCTCTCTGGGCCTGGCTGTGACCTGGGAAAGGGTTCAAACTGCCGCAGGCACAGTCTGGATGCCATTTCTCTGTGGAGGGGCAGCCCTCATCTTGGAGAGCTCTATCGAGGAGCAGAGTCCACAGCTTCTCACTGTCAACTCAGCCCCCACCCAAAGCCTTGGCAGCCCTGAAGTGGAGAAAAGACCAGTGGATAAAGTGGAAGGTATCCGGCAAAGGGATGAGACACCACTAGGACCAACAGGCAGTGACTCCGTCTGCTTCCTGCAGCTTTGACCCACTGCCCTGACCCAACCAGTTGGCCTGATAGACGGAGGTGAGCCCACAGCTGCCATCTCTGTCCCCTGAGGCGATCGGCACGAGGGCCTGAATATGGCATGGCCACCCTGCTGGCCTCGGAGTCGTCTCAGAAGAGGAAACAAGACCCCCAACCTCCACAGGGCCAGCCTGCAGGCTCTGATCTCTCCTGGCTCCCCCACCCACTGAGACTTTCCTCAGGTGGCTCCCAGAGGCGTGAGCTGCCACCTTGACGTCTAACACAGAGACAAGACACAGACAGGCAGACAGACACAGACAGGAAGAGCTCACAGGCACAGGTGCAGCCAGGCAGTGGTGGCTGGGGCCCCCGAGAGGACTGCCAGGCCCGGCTTATCCCTCAGGCTGCCTGATGTGGGCCAGAACTCCAGGCTGAGGCGGAGAGAGGGGAGGTGGCCAGACAGCCCTGGAGAGGGGGTGGCCTGTGTTATCAGAGAGTGGCACCCCAGAGACAGGGAGAGCCAAGAGCTTCAGTTCCTTCCCCTCTCTTCCCCAGGGGTGCTGCTCTCTACATCCACCTGCCACCCCACACCCCCAACGCACCTCCTCTGTGCCACATAAAGAGTTGCGATTCCACCAGCTCAGTTTCTCTCTAGCTTTGGCCAGGAAGGCATGAAGGAGGAAGAGCTTCACATACTCCTCACCACTGGGGAGAGGAAAGGCCAGGCTGGGGGAAGCACATACCATCCTCTCTCAGGGGATACTCTACATCCATGCAAATACCAAGGGTCTGCAGGCCCTCTGCTCAGATTCTGCACTCCGGACTCTCCCAGACTCTGTGGTAGCTCAGAGAGACCCGGAAGGCACTCTCAGGCTGGGCATGGCTTCCAGTGAAGGCATCCTCTGGGAACTGGGGGGTCTCACGAAGGCCTCACACATCTCTCAGATTTGGCAGAATTTTCAGGGCACAGGAATTGAGTAAAGCCCCTGGGGGGGTGCTGCCTGGCTGGACACTCAATGAGAATGGATTATCCTGTCCCAGGGGCAGGGGTGCTGGCTCCCTGGGGACTGTGTGCTGGATGCAGGTGTGCTGTGCATAGCCCAGGCCCAGGAGCCTCTTTGAGGATGGGACAGTGTCCCCTGGATGCATGCTGGGTAAGGGGCACCTGTGACCCACCAGAGGAGGGAAGGTCCAGTCACAGTGAAGAGGATGAGGGTGTGGTGCCCTGTGGCAAGAGCTGCAGGAGGCACAGTCACTTCTGGTTTCTAGGACCCATTTTATTCACCTTCAAAGGGTCGGGGACAAGAAGGGACAAGAAGTTTCTACTTGAGGGTTGCAGAGTGTTACTGAAATTATCACCTAGTTTTGCCATCCTTTTCTTCCACAGAACCCCAACTGGAAGCCTAAGGCCAGAGGAAGAAGGACTACAGGGGACTAGAGCCGAGCTGCCCTGGGCACAGCGGGTCACCAGGGACGGATGCCCTCGATGCGCCATGTAGCAGTGTGGGGGCTCCAAGCATCTCTGTCCAATCTGGGCACCCTTTAGGACACTGTCTCTGAGACCTTAAGAGAGCAGAGGATAGGGAAAGGAAATGAAACCTCAGTGGTAAAACTGGAGCTCGGTTCAAGATGATGGAGAGAAGGCTGAAAAAGGCAGGAGCCAGACGATAGGGTCAGGAGCCGAGAAACAGAGACATGGCCAGAGAGGAGGCCACCTAGCCAGGGAATGCGATAAACTAGCCCCGACCTACCCCAGAAAGAACAGAAGGTCCAAGGCGAGAGGATTGAGAAAGGAAGGGGGCTGGAGGGCTCTGCTGGGCTCCTCTCCACAGTGGCTGCCCAGTCTCCTTTGCTGGGAGCAGCTTTACCAACAGGAGAAATGATAAGTGCAAAGCCAAAGTCTTCTCTTGAGTTTCGTCCCCAAAGAAATCATGTGGCTCCTCTGGGACCACCATGGAGGCCCTCAGCTTGCTCACAGCAGGCAAGATCCCTGCATCAAACCCTGCCTCAGGAACCTGCAAAGTACAAGAGGCTGATGGCCAAGGTGCAGAGAGCCTTGGCCTTCTTCCAAGGCCCCTGCTCTGCTCGGCTCCCACACATGGGAAGGAAGCTGTGAGAAGCGCCTGCAGGGGAACAGCTCCATCTGAGGATCCCGTGGGCCTGACTCAGGCAACCAGCCACATCCTGCCTAGGGCTGCACCGGGCTACCCCATCACCGATCACAGCTCTCTGGGACACACGCCACCGAGAGCCAGTCCTTCCTCGCACAGGCAAATGCCAGCACCTGCCCTGACCCCGGTGTGGGGCACGGCCAGGGGCGGGAGTCCTGCAGGGGCTTGGTGGAGTGGTGAGGAGAGGTGGAGCAGGAGGGAACTCTGGCATGGGACAGGAGCATGCACGTGTGCTGAGTGGCTCAGAGTGGAATGGGTTTCCGAAAGCGAGAGTGGCAGTGACCAGTGTGGATGTTTGGAGGTTGTCAGATCGGCGGATTAGGGGCTAAGAAGACATGCAAAAGGAAGGGTGATGAGACAGAGAGAAACCAGGAGCTGTGGGCAAGATGCAGCCTGACAGGGACCGGGAGAGGCAGGCGCAGGTGGGGGAGGCGTTGTGTGTGGGCTGCAAGAGCACCAGCTGGGGCGGCCATGTGTGACTCCACCCAGCCTGGAACTGGCTGCTCTGCCATGGCACCAAGTGGGGTGAGAACCCAGGAAGAGAGGTGCTCCAGGCCCAGGCAGAGAGGTCTGTGCTGGGCTCCCGATGGAGCACTCCCTGCAGCTGACGGGGCAGTGCTGTGCCCCAGCTGACTGTCTCTTACCTTTGGTTTTAAAAGCAAAGTGACAGTGCTTGCACACATAGGGCCGGACGTCAGTGTGGGTGCGGATGTGTTTCTTCAGCATGCTGGGCTTCTTGCAGCGAATTCCACACTCCTCACAAACATATTTCCCTCGGCCGCGGCCTCGCACATATACATACTCTTCGTTTGATTTGTACCTATGAGCAACAGGCGTCATGTAAAGGAAAAAAAGGGAGGAGAAGAGGTAGGTTCCCACCTCAGAAGATACACGCTCTTCCTAGCTGCTTCAAGCCAGGGTAGATGCGGAACAGCGGACCCTGGGGCCGGCAGAGAGCCAGTTGTCCTGGGGACCCACTGCGGACCCCTGCACTCCTGCCACTCATATGGACAGGTGGGGCTGCACCTTCCTTCCTCCCCAGCGCCCCAGGCACTGGAGCTGCCTGTGAGGGGAAGCGAGACCACAGGTTCCCAGACCGCCTTTCCTCAACCAGCCTCAGGAATTGCTCTGTCACAAGGAACAGCCACCACAGGCCACCAGAGTCACAATTTAGGAAAACGCTATAAAATTATGGTAGCAGCAGCTCTCGCAGCGGCCAGTTACTAACTGCTCACCCTGTGAGGGGCACATCACTTGCTAAATCACAATCCCTTCACAGTGAAGCCTTTGAGGCCTTAAGACGCAGAGAGGGGTGACACTCACCCAAGATCCCACAGCCAGAAAGGTACAGAACCTGATCCGAACCTGCCTGCCTGGCTCCAGCCCATTAACTCTCACTAGGGCCAAGGACAGTATGTCGGGAAGCCGCCTGATCCTCGGTGAGGAACTGCTAGGGACCATAGTTCTCTGTCTGGAATCCAGGAGCCCCACGCGCTCCCTCATCCAGCACCCTGGAGAGGGGTAGGAGGGTGGCCTGGAGGAGATGGCCACCAGGACTCCATTCTGCTCCACGGGGCCTTCATCTTAGTCTGTAGGTTGTCACAAAGACGGGCTTGAAAGAGGGGTGGTGGGGTGGGGGCATAGGCAGCACTGGAGGGATCACCTCCACCCCTGCTCACACTCACTCTACAATCACACACCCTCACATTCGGAGACGTGTTCACACATATACTCTCATACCATCTTACCCTCACACCCCAGTCACAGACCGTACCCCCTGCACACTCACTCATGACCCACACTCTTGCTCACGTGGTCTCTCACGCCTGCATCACAACCCCTCACCCTCGAACGTACACCCCCTGCTCACACTCAGGCACTCCCGTACAGCCTTCCCCACATGCACACCTCACACTTGAATCGCTGTCCACTAGTGCATATAGACCTTGCTTTTCGGACACCTCAGCATTGGCCAACGGACCTCTCAGAGGGGTCCCTTCTTCACCTCCACCGACACTGACCGCCCCGCTCAGCCAGTGCTCAGGTTGGGAGGTCAACTTTTCACCTGCTCCTGGGCAAGCACCATCTTGCACAAGAGAGGGAACTGTGGGCCTCGGGAGGGCTATGGGGAGAGATGACTCCCTTTTGCTCCCAGGTGCACCCTCTGGCCAAACGCTGGGTGCCTCCTAAGTGACAGAAGTTCACTTTCATGCGGGAGGCCTCTTGGTCACAAAAAAAAAATCAGCTGCCTTTACCAGATTTTGACTCCTGTCTCCCTCTGTGCCCTGAGACCCAGTCTTTAGGAGAAGCAGGTTGAGATGGGGCTCCTTTTCCCAGCCAAGCTAGGGGAAGACACAGTGAACTTGGCTTTCCCTGGAGGCTCCACCTGACACCAGTCTTCACTTGGCCCTGCACAGTGGGTTCATGACACTTGCCCCTCCAACTACCAAGCACAGTGCTATCCTTCAGCACCAGCTTCCCCTTCCCGCTCCTGCTCCCCACAGCTCCACAGCCACCACGTGCCACAGAAGGTGTGGAGTCTGTTGGGAAACACAGGGGACCACCCGGACTAACCGGTTGGGGAGGACGGAGAGAGGGAGAAGGGAGGACTCCTAGCAAAGGCCTCAGGAATAACGGCAGGGTCACTAAAAGGCCTGGAGTGTGATAGCTGAGAGGAGACGAGGTCAGACAGGCAGGGCAGGCTGGATCACCATCAGCCTGGAATGCCACGTTAAGAGTACAGACCTGCTTAGCGTCATCTAACACAAAGTCTCAAAGAGACGATGCTTTCTTGGTGCCATAGGAATGGTTTGGAGAAGTCTAAGCGTTTGTCCTAGGGAAGCAACTCAAGAGGCCTGCTGGACATGAACTTTGCAGGCCTTGCCGGCCATCTAGATGGGCAGGGCTCACATTCAGGCAGAGACAAAGATCCAAAGTTTTCAACTCGGCTTGCTCAAGTGGAACCATTCACAGGAAGGAAGTGATGGGGACCCTAGTTTTTCACTGCTGAGTGTGAGAGGCTGTTGAAATGGACAGGAAGAGATGTCTAGCACATGGCTGGAGATCGGACATGTGGAAGAGCTTGTGCAGAGGAAGGTGACCATACGAGAGAATGAGAAGCTGGAGGAGGAGGGTGCCTGGGAGGCTCAGAGGGTGTATGAGGGCAGAAAACATGGTGCTCCAGACTGGCCCCAGACACAGAAAGGCCAGAGCAGCAGGGAGCCAGCAGAGAAGTGTGGTTTAGAAGCCCAGGGGAGAGAGTTTAGAGAAGGGCAGGCCAGCAGAGTTGAAGGTCATAGAATGCCTGAGGATGGCCAAGGGGATCTGGGACTTCAAAGAGGCTGCCCTGGTTGCATGGTGGGAGCCTGTGACTTCTCTGCTCCTCCACAGATAGGACCATGGTCTGGCCAGCTTTGTGGTTTCCGAAGGGTCCAGCCTGGACCAGCTATCTCCGTGTGTGTGTGTGTGTGTGTGTGTGTGTGTGTGTGCGCTGGACCCTCCTCTGGCTTGAGGATGAGCCCTCTTCCTTCTCAGGATCCTGCCCCTCCTGCCAGCACAGAGGCCTCACCCCATTAGCTGCCAACTCAACTCCTGGCACCTTCCATCCTCAACCCGCAGTCAAGGCTCTCAGTCACAACCAACCCTGACGCTTCCCCAGGGCCCTCAGCCATGCTCTGCTGTGTCTCCCTGTGCTTGCTTCCCTTCACAGCCTGCCTTGCCCATGCTGGTGTCCCCTGTTCTTGCTCACACCTCCCCTCCCTAGGGCACTTCCCCCTTCATGCCTGGGGTGCTGATGCCTCCCCTATTCTCTCCAGCTCTGATTGCTTTGCTGAACAACCACTGCCCTTCACGTTGTGCTTGGTAATTCCTCTTTTGAGCAACCACTGCCCCTCTCTCTGCTTTCTGGATGCCATGAGGTGAGCAGCTTCCTCTACCATAATGTGCTGCTCTGCCACAGGTTCAAAGTTCCTCTACCTACAGCTGGGTCCACCTCTCATGTACACGGTTGGCCACACCAGCAGCATGGGCTTCATCCTTGGTGGCAGTTTCCCTCCCTCTTCACACCCAGTCCATTCTAACCATCAGCACTCCATCTGGTATATGCCCCAGGATGTCCATCTCTGCACCTTGAGCTTAGGCCATCATCCTCTCTCCATAAAACAGTCATCAAGAGGCTTCTCCAAATGCCCTGATTCTGCCATTGCCCCCGCTACAGGGCCTATTCAGTGCATCTCCCACAAGCCCCACTCTTCCACTAAGAAGGCTCTGGCCCAGCCTGCCTCTCCAGCTCACTCTTCACCCACCCTCACTGTCTCCCATGCCCTGCTGTACTCTCTTGTGGTCACGCTAGCTGGCACCCAGACCCTCTGTGTCCCCGGCTTCTGGCCTCGTGTGGCTCCGTCCCCAGACCCTGGGGAGTGGTCTAGTCTGACGAGCTCTTCTGCTCCTCAGGGCTCTGCCCAAAGGTGCCTTTCTTGAGGATACCTGTCCCACTCACTCCTCTGCATCTGGGGGTCTCACCACTTCTCATCCAGTGCCTTTGTCAAGATGTGTGGACTGTAACGGCCTTCCCACAAGTGCAGTCTCTATGCCCCCTGCAGGGGTGAAACCACATCTACTGCAACTGCTGATATATCCCCAGAGTCTTGAATGGTACCGGCTATCCTGCAAATGCTCAATAGCTTCTCATTAACTGCGCTCAGAAAGACAAAGCGAGGAGCCTCTGGCCTGCTAGTGTCAGGCAGACTCTCAGCCTTGACATTTCCATTCCACTAGTCCCTGAGCATAAGTTGAATCCGATGTTGTGGACTCCTCCAGGAGGTACGTACAGCTGACACCTCCTGCTTTCTGAGATGCACACTGCTTGCAGAAGAGAGATCAGCAGGATATTTGGGTCTGAGTTCTGGGTTCTGTTGGGACTTGGTAGGCGACTACGGGCAAGTCACCTCACCTTCCCGGGAGGTCATCAATCTTCGTTACCCTTAGATGTCGCTAACACCACACATACTTGACATCATTCATCCTTCATCAATCCTTTCACCTTTGCCTCCATTTTACTGCTACAGATGGGTCTTGAATGTTGCCTAAAGGCCTAGGTGTTGAAGGCTTGGTCACTATCCTGTGGCACTGTCAGGAAGTGACAGAGCCTGTAGGAGGTGGGGCCGTGTGGGTGGGAGGAAATTAGCTCACAGGGACAGGCCCCTGAGGGGGCGTTGGAAACTCATCTCTTCCTCTCTCTTCGCTCCCGGCTGCCATGAGGTAAGCAGCTTCCTCTACCATATGGCCCTGCCATGATGTGCTATCTCACAACAGGCAACAGGGCCACATGGCCATGGACTAAAACCTCTGAAACTGTGAGCCAAAATAAACTCTTCTTCCGTAAGTTGATCACCTCAAGGTATTTTTGTCATGGTAACAGAAAGCTTACCAATATACCAAAGATGCCAAGGCCCAAAAGGTTCAAGTGAAACAGTGGTTTCAACCATCAGCAGTCATTCCACTCAGTACCTTGTCCTTGTGTGGGCAGGCTGCACAAACGTTTTCTGATGGTGCTGACCAAGACCTTCCCTCTCTGAGATTCCCAGACAAGCAAGGATGGCATCAGTCTCCACGCAGCCCTTCCTAAAGGGCCAGCTGAGGCTGGCTGCAAGGCTCAGATGTTGACATCTGCAGAGAAATGCTATAGAAAAGTCCAGGGCAGGGAAACAGACAAGCATGATGGGGCCTCTGGGGATACAGCCCGCTTCTCAGGCTTGTTGACTACTCCCTGATGCTCCACATAAGGCTGCCTTTTGGAGGCCTGAGTCACAGGCTGGTTGC